TTTTCGTAACAATGGAAAAAGCCAACTGCGAGTTAGTTTTATGAAAACGACTGATGGAGATTATTACAAAGTTTTGGGTAAAAGTTTATTTATGTTGAAGATTTTTTTTGTTTGTTTGATGGTATTAGTTTCACTGCCTCGGCGTTTGGTTGTTGTCAATGCTGTTGTGTAGAACGACTACGATAACAAGGTGAAGATATGAATGGATGAATATTTTGTGTGTGTGTGTGTGTGTGTAGAGTAGAGGGCAGAAATCATGATTGGCGGGTGACCACCGTTAGAAAATAATTTCTTCTTTGTTAATGTAATTGCTCTAAATGTTTCCATTGTCCTCAGATACATTTATGCAGAATTATATAGCAAATGCTCAAAGAAAGACACAAGCAAGTGCAGTAGACGATTGGTAATAACAACAAATTTAAACTGCATTAAGTTAAGGAGTACAGATGTAGATTCAGATGTAGAAACCCATATAATTGATTTATTTCGAAATCTATTCCGTCGAAGAAAATTTTTCACCTAGACTTTTGGTTTTGAATAGCCTTCATATAATGGTACCTCCCTATTTTCGGTATTTTAAAGATTTTTGGGACATTATTCACCAGAATTGTTTCAAATTTAGTATTTAAAGTTCGTAATGGACACTACAGCCTGTAACAGAAAATTGTCTGTGCATAACTCCCATATTGTCTTCGTATAACCCCCATATAACTGTTCCTCCAGATATTGAGTATTTTGATGATTTTAGCAACATTATTTACCGGAATTTTTTCAAATTTAATATTAGAGGTTCGTAATGGATACTACAGCCTAAGACAGAAAAGTGTCTGTGCAGGTCCATGATATTTGGTATTTTTATGTTTTTAGCGACATTATTCGCCGAAATTAATTCAAATTTGGTATTTGAAGTTCGTAATGGATACTTCAGCCTATAACAGAAAATTGTCTGTGCAGGTTCACGTTTTGGTATATATCTATAAAAGAGGAAAATGTTTGTACGTTTGTTTGTAATTTATGGACTCGAAAACCGCTGAATAGATTTTCCTGAAAATTTCCAAATATACTGCAACATCGCCTGAAAGTAACATAGGCTATATACATTTTTGAATTTCCGCTTGGAACTGAAGATAGCATCAGAATCGGAGGTACCTCCCAAAAATTGATTGGTTGAAGATAAAGTCTCCAAATTTGGAATACGTAACGGAATTTGGAACAAAAATAAGTTTGCCAAATCATATTGTAATCGGTTCAGATTTGGATATAGCTCCCATATATATTTTCGGCCAATTTCAAGCATTTGATGCACCAAACACGCTATGTATCCCCAATTTAAATGAAATTTGAAACGTGTGATAGATTTTATCTAAAAAAATGATTTCACAAATTATATTGAAATCGGTTCAGATTTGGATTAGCTCCCATATACATTTTCGGCCAATTTCATGTATTTGGTGGACCAAACAAAATAAGTAACGGAATTGGGAGCCAAAATGAATGTGTCAAGTTAAATTGAAATCGGTTCAGATTTGGATATAGCTCCCATATATATTTTCGACCGATTTCATGTATTTGATGCACCAAACACGCTATGTATCTCTAATTTCAATGAAATTTGGAATGTGTAGCGGAAATTAAAACAAATATACATTTGTCAAATTATGTTAAAATCGGTTCAGATTTGCATGTAGCTCTCATATATATTTTCGACCGATTTCATGTATTTTATGCACCATACACGATATGTATGTTCGATTCCAAAGAAATTTGGAATATGTAACGGGATTTTGATTAGAAAATAAATTAGTCAAATTATATTAAAATCGGTTCAGATTTGGATATAGCTCCCATATATATTTTCCGCCGATTTCTCATATTTGATGCACAAAACACGATACGTATTTCCGATTCCAATGAAATTCGGCATGAGTGGCTAAATTTGGTACAAAAATAAATTTGACAAATTATATTCAAATACGCTCAGATTTGATTATAGCTCCCATATATATACTCAGCCGATTTCACATATTTGATGCACCCAAAGGGAGAGAGACAAAATCTGGCACCAGAAAAAATTGCCAAATTATATTGAAATCAGTTGAGGTTTGGGTATAGGTAACATATATATTTCGGCCGATTTCATATATGTTATGCACCAAACATGATATATATGACCGATACCAATGAAATTCAGAATGTGTGGCGGAATTTGGTTACAATAATAAATGTGGCAAATTAATTGGAAATTAGTTAAGATTTGGATATAGCTCCCATATATATATTATCGGCCGATTTCACATATTTGACGCACCAATTTCAATGAAATATGAAAGGTGTGGCGGAGTTTGGTGTAAAAGTATTTTTTTTAATTATATTTAAATCGGATCAAATTGGGATATGATTTTAATAAGAACCATTGAACCACAATGCCTTAGGCATTGTATATATATATATATATATATATATATATATATATATATATATATATAAGATATTCGCAAAATATTATGGGTTTAAAATAGAACAAAAACAAAAAAATTGCATTGCCCATATTCGACGGACCTTTGGGCCCATTCCAATCGACGAGGCTTGTCCGCAGTCAACATTCTTTGCGTCAATTGAATTTTGTACGGGAACAAATGCAAATCAATGTGAATAATCCGTTGTAAAGTGGATCGAGCCATGCCCAACTGCTGAGAACGGCGTTTTTGGGATGTTCTTGGGGACCTCTCAACACTGGCTCGTACGGCAGTGATATTCTCGGCCGATTGCCTTGGTCGACTTTTATATGGCCTCTTCGGATTAGAAAGAGCCTTACCAGTCGAAAATTTTTCATATAAACGCTTAATGGTGTTCTTAGAAGGCGCACTTCTCACATTTTTTTTCACAATTGACTTCTTCTGTTGAATGTGAATTTCAACTATTTTAGAGCGCTCGCGTGGCGTGTATTGGTTCATGGTAAAAATCTGCTTGGACATCTCTGTCAAAAAGAGGCTAGAGTTTAGACAGCGTTGAAGCCTAGCATTTTGGATGGTCATTGGATAATATTTAGCTGGTGAAATGGATCACAATTTTGTGTGAAAAAAAAAAAAACAAAATTAACAAAACTACAAATACATGAAAAGCGCATTGACATCGACTTTTGCATTGATCCTGAATTCGTTGACAAGTAAAGCCAAATATCAGAGGTACAGGATTATATTTTTCTTCATTTTCGAATATTGTTTTGAATACCCATTTACACGACATAGGACGTTAAACCTAGGGCAGGACCATATGATATAATTTCAAGAATGAAATTAACATACAATGTTAAATATTCAGGCTTTTATGAATATATAATTTTGGTTCTTACCGAGAACCTATGTTTCCGTAAATTTTGGTCCCAGATTTATGGTGATAAATCGAAAAGAGGAGCAATTCGCTTCGACATTTTCTTTTATTTTACAGAAGGTATGGGAATGTTACTTAGTGGAATCCTAGAAGAAGAACTGAGAAGAAATTCACATTCTGAGTCGATTTATGCATGTCCGTCCGTCCTTCTGTCTGTCCGCCCGTCTGTCTATTTATTCTTGTAAACAAAGTAAAGGTCGCATTTAAATTTTGCATAATTAATTTGTTTGACCATAGAACGAGCTCTATTGAAATTAGAGATAATCGGTCAAAATTTAGATATAGCATCCATACATATCTTCGTCCGATTTGTCTTTTCCTGTGCACCAAACGTGTAATATCAGCCCAAATGTGCCATACGACCAAATTATGCCTGAAAATGAATATACTAAATTTTATAGAAATCGGTTCAGATAAAGATATAGCTCCCATATTTATCATCCGCAGTCGTAAAATGCACTCCCCGATACTTGGGGAAATATATCAAATACAGCTCAGAAATACATTTGCCAAATTTTATCGAGACCGGTTCAGATTTGAATATAGCTCCCATATATATCTTTATCTGATTTCATGTTTATTGTGCACCAAATGGTTAATACAAGCCCGAATTGTAAAGGCACAAGCGCCTCGACAAATTCAGTAGAAATCGATTCAGAGGAGAATATTGCTCTCATATATAAATTCATATAGTCGGCCCCGTCCCCCGTCCGACGTCCGAAGACGTTCTTTACTCGTTCAAATGTGCTATAATTTGATATTTGTTGTTCGTAATTGGTACCTGATGTCCCTATAAAAATGCTTGTATTGGTTCACATAGTTCCACTTTTTAAACCTCAAATTTGTAGGCACCTACATTTGTAGTAATTATTGATTTAAATATTTGAGACTGACAAGAAAAAAGAAATCAACCTATTTTAGTATTTAGAATACTTCGCTATATATATTTTTTTAAATTTTTCGATTTGTTTGCCAAATTTTGTCTTAAAATTCGAAAATATTTGTAGAATAAGAAAATTTAATATATTAGGAAATATTTGCAGAGCTAAAATTCAATTTTGTTGTTTTCAGCTCTCCCGATTTTTGTCACTGTTTGGGAACACAGTAGGGTAAACGGGCAGAAGCTCCTAGATTACTTGGTTGATCTTGTTGAGGTATGAAAATTGACATTCCCAAGACGGGGTCTAGAACAATTATTTCGTGGCGATTTTTAAACGTTGAGCAAAATAAATTATTAGAAAACTGCACCCATATGATCTTCTTTATATTATAACAACTTTGAAAGTCTGATATGGTTTAATTTCCCTCTAAATTTTATTTTTATGCTCTTTCATTTCATCCAAACTCATTGCTCTTTGCATTAACACAACTGTATTTTTTCCAGATAAATAAAATAAAATTAGCCATAAAAATCAGTGAACTACAACGAAGTTACTGCTAATACCTTAAAATTGATGGTTTGTAATGGCTAGATTTAGAAAGAAAATTTCTAATGGAACAACAACAGCAGCAGCAACAACAACACAAACAACAAATAACACTGTCAGTGTTAAATTGTTAAAAAAAGAAGAAGTTAATAAAACACTTAGGCCAACTGGGCCACGATTTATTTGCCTATCCGCCGCAAACGGAGGATGATCACCAATCGCAGGCCAGTGAAAAACTTTGTAAAATTTCTAATTAAAGTGAAATTTCTAAATAAATAAAAACCCTAAGTCTGAAAATGATTGAAAGATTGTTTCTAATCTGTTTGTTGATAATAAATTTGAATCTGCTGCAAAAGAACAGGACATGGGCTCTATTGGATAATCAGTGGTATAATTCATTGACACCGGATCAAAGGTCATTTCCATCGGCTGTGGCAGTTCAAAAAAGCTATGACTCTTGGCAGCCGCTATTGAAAACTCATAAGTGGTGGATAACAACAGCTGGTGGTGCTGCTGCCACTGGTTCATTGTCAATGAAGTCAAACGAGAATATCGAACGTGAAAATGTATCCTTTATGCTGCAGCCGTCATCTGGCGGTGTTTCAGCACCAACCCAGTATTTTACAAATCGCTTATTCATCTATAATAATCAAAACGGAAATTACAACAAAACACAAATTACCCCATTCAGTGGCGGTGCTGATGTTCCGAACACAAAATCAACATTGTCACCAATAACACATCGTAGTCGTCACCACCATCATCAAAAGCATCCATTGACAAATATTGAAGGCATTAACCGCAACGTGAAAAACAACTATCAGCCGCATAACCCCATCGAACAACAGCAGGAGCAGCAACAACAACAACAGCAGGTGAATCGTACCTATTCTTCTCACATATCTCCAAAGTATACGCAACAAACGAATATTGTCGATGCTAAACAAGCCCAACGACTACGACATATGCCAGACTCTACAACCAATCGTCAATATGTCACGACGGATGTTCAACGTCATTTTGGGGATAAATTTGTGTCAGTCCCAGCCTTAGCTCTGATTGACAACCGACTTTCACACATTTTGACAACAAAAGATCCGCACATCTCAACTAATGGCAATCACCTAGAAGCCATTTCTGATCCATCCCCCTTCCCGGCAAATAAAGAAGTTAATGTCGATGCTGACAACGACACTGATGGAATTGGCAAAATCCTCGTTCACGCTGCTTTAGGCAAAGTGAAACAATTTGGTGATATTCTTAAGGATATAATGGCAAAGGAGGATAAGAATACCGACGAAGGCAATCAAAATGAAGGAGGCCATGCTAATGAAGATGTTTTTGTCCAGAATCCACCTGACGTCGACACTGAAGGTGAGGATGTCGAAGCGTCTTTAAGATATTCAGGTGAGTCGAATGTACACATAAGCATACGTATGTGTGCCTGGGGCGAAAATTGCCATATCACCCAGTGTATAAACATATGAAGATAATATTTCTAATCGATTGGGAGGTTTAAGGTCAAGACACTTTATTCAAGGTGTTTGTGGGATGAAATTACATATGTGTATAAAGGTTTTCCTTTTCATGCAAGATTTGTGAATCATAAAAGAGTCTGTGGTGAAATTACATTACATTTCTTTGAACTTTATTCCAATCATGTATATGAAAGCATATTTAGAGTTGGTTCAGGAGAATATTTGTTTTGCCTAATCAAAGGCAAAGTTAAGCCAGCATTTATGGCGATTATAATAACCTCTGGCTTAGAAATTCAATTTAAGGTCAACGAGAAAATTGGTTACAAAGGATGTGGACCTTGAATAAACTTCACTTAAATCATAAAGTGTCCTTGTAAGTTGGAAAGGAATTTGAGCAATGTATGCTCGCTTTGGAAGGAATTCCTTTCACTTTCATGAAAAAGGAATTTTGTTTAAAACTTTCAACATTCTGCGAATTCCACTAGTATGGAAATCACACCATACAATACCATGCTGTTAAAAGGGTTGCGGAGACGGAATTCATTAGCCAGAGTCGTACAATTTTGCTGGAGCCGGAGACTAAGTAGAAAAAAGTCACGCGACTCCGGATAATAATATGTTTTTACCTTTCATAATCCTATGGAGGATACATTAAATTTATCGATCCGTTGGACCCCACAAAGTATATATATATACAGGGTGACATAAAAATAATGCAACAAAGTCAAACGCCATAATTTTTACATTTTTTTTTTTAATTTTATTGAATAAAAGCAAAATATGTCGGAAACAGCATCAAATATTAGAATAAGTTTAGATTTGTTCGAATTGGTCACATTTGGCACGAAATATATCCTTCAAACGGCCAATGAAACCGACACACGCTGCCCGAATGCTGTTCTGTATTTTGGTCCATTCTCGGCGAAGCGCTTGCCTGAGGTGATCGACACTATTTATTATTTTTATACCCTCCACAATACTATGGAGGGTATATTAACTTTGTCATTCCGTTTGTAACTCCTCAAAATACTCATGTCAGACCCAACAAAGTATATATATTCTTGATCAGCGTAAAATTCTAAGTCGATTTATGTCCGTCTCTCTGTTGTAATCACGCTATCTTTCGAACGAATTGAGATAGAATGCTAAAATTTAGCACACATGTTTATTTTTCCAGTACGCAGGTTAGGTTCGTAAATGGGCCATGAAGGTCCACGTCTTCGTATAGCCCCCATATAACTGTACCTCCCGATATTCGGTATTTTGATGATTTTAGCGACATTATTAATCGGAATTGTTCAAAGTTTGGTATTTGAAGTTCTCAATTGATACTACAGCCTAAGACAGAAAATTGTCTGTACAGGTCCACGTCTTCGTATAGCGTCTTTATTCACCAAAATATTTTCAAATTACGCATTTAGAGTTCGTAATGGAAACTCCAGTCTGTGACAGAAAATTGTATATGCAGGTCCAGGTCTTCTTATATGCCCCATATACCAGTACCTCCCTATATTCGGTATTTTGACGAGTTTAGGTACAATACTCACCGAAGTTGTTTGAAATGTCGTATTTGAAGTTCGTAATGGTCAGGTCTTCGCACAGCTCCGATATAACGGTACCTCCCTATATTCTATACTACATTTTTCGCGTTTATTTCAAGTTCCGAATTTGAATGACTCATGACAAATAATGCCTGTGTGAGTCCACGTCGTATAGGCACCAATATAACGGCTGTATTCGGTATTTTTAAAATTTTAACAAAGTTTTTTCAGGATTTTATTTCAAATTCGTTCCAAATGGTGGAAGGTATTCAAAGTTCGGCGCGGCCGAACTTACTGATTTTTTACTTGTTTAGTGCTAATTTTGCTCTGCAAACTACTCCATATACAATAGTCCAACGGACTAGTATCCGGAGATTTTGGTGGCCATTGTCCGTTGAAAATGAAGCGAGGAACCTCATTTTGTAAGCATTCTTAGTGCTGAGTCCTGTTGGAATGTCCAAGGTCTGCGGCCGAAATGTGCCCAAAGCTTTAATACACCCTCCAGAATATTTTCGTGGCAATATTCGGCATTTATTCTGATGCCACGGTCGATTAATACGAGCGAAGAGCTGATATGGCGGCCCACACTATCACCATTGCCGGCGCTTGAGTTCTGGTGGCCAACCGATGGTGCACATTTTCAGCTGACCTCTTTGGCAAGTATACACGATCATTTTGTTTGTTTACAAACTGGTGGACAACGAATGTTTTCTCATCGGAGAAAACCAAATTCGGCAGTTGACAACTTTCATGCAAGCGAAGCAACTCTTTAGCTCTTTTGAGTATATTTTCTTTCTGTTGCGGCGAATTTCTTGCACTTTTTGGAATTTCAATGGCTTTATCCCGAGCTTATTTTTCAATATTTTCCGAATGGAATATTACGATATGTTCAGCTCATGAGCCAGTTTTTGGGTACTGCGACGCGGGTTTTGATCAAGTCGCATCTTTACTTTTCGAACAATTTCTGCTGATGTTGCTGTTTTCTTCCGTATACTTTCCGCTAACGGTAACGAGCAATGGTATGAGACACAAAAGATTTATTCACATTTATATTCTGGAGTGCTCTAACGATAGCCACTCGTGGTATTCCAGCCAAATATAAAGAAATCACGCTTGAATTCCATCACGACTAACTTTTTTTCTGGAAAGTTCTCACCAAAATACTTTTGTACTCTTGTAAACAATATAATGAACTATCACTGGAATAATTTTAACAGCTGTCGGACGAGTGGCTTAGAAATGGCAGCAGTCTGAAATTGTTTGCAGTTTTTCATCTCACCCTGTATATTTATATCTTATTCACTTAACCAATAAATACATAAAATCTATAAATAACAGTTTTGTCCGTTGTCGCTTTAAAGACTACACATCATATTAGAATTCAAAAAGAAAACACGCTGCATGTGTTCATTCGAAAATGGTAAGTAAAAATGTTACATTGCATGATTTATAAAACATTACAATTGTACATTTCAAAAGTCAAAATGAAAAATTTCAAATGTCACATTTTTACGCGATTTTATACATTTATATACATTTACAAACAGAACAGCGTTGGCTTGTTTGTTCGGCATACCATAGTATTTTGTTGTTACAAAATGGTCAGGCTTAAAGGAATAAAGGGATTATTGTTGTTTTTATAAAAACAATGTTTGTTTATTATGGGAGAACGATGGTAATGTTTACCAGGTGATAAGGCAGGGAATACCTAGGTTTCGGAAAGAGCCACCAGTCCTCATCAGTTCCCTTGTTTTTGTCTGGGATATGCTCCCCAGAAGTTATTTTAAAAAGAACTTCTATGACAAAAAACTTTTTTACCCAAGTGACGAGATCATAAGTTCAATAGAAGAGGAACCAATGAATTGCATAAAACTAAAATTCTTTTGGAAACCCTTCTAAATCTTACAACCGCACTTATAAACATTTTCACCTTTCTCCACTTTACAAACTATAAACACTAAGATCCCAGTTAAAAATCTTGAGAAGTGTGTTGTATAATTCATTACAAAATATTTACTTGAGTAGATAAGTGATAAGACATACAAGTAAAACGTTTATCCTTTTGCTTTTGAAAGTCCAACTCGCCTTATTTGCATTAATCTTTTAAGGGAAACTTTAAACGTACCTCTTCTTGCACATTTAATTAAGTTTTATCCTTACCTTTTAATTTTGACGAAATAGCCGGAGAAGCAATGCTGAAAGAAATAAATATTAAATATAATTAATTTCTTGTAAGAGATTTGTCATTACGACCAAAGAAAAATCAATACAAATAATTAATAATAAATACCCATCAAAAGGGAGCAACACATCGAAGGAATGACAATGCGCAACATTATAACAATTTCCATTACCCTACTCCAAAAATATGTTATGTCTGAACAGTAAACCTCAAAAGAAACAGATTACCAAATTCGCAATAAATATAATTGAATATGTGAGTCAACATATTCCCCTGGACGCACACACAGACAAAAATAAAGATCATACAGTGAAGCCAATGAACTTTCGTATCTTCTCTTAGCATTATTTTATTCTCAATTCTAAGGGATTGATTTCATTGGAAACGACTTTAAATTTCACAAAATGAAAACAAATATCAACAAGTTGAGGGTCATTAAAAAAAGAAAAAAAAAATACATGGAGAAATGTAATGTAAAGAAAATACCATAACGAAATCCAAACTATGTTTTTGAATTTTTTTTACAAATTGCTGTACATTTTACCAAGACATCAAATTGATATAGCAATTTCAATGAATTTCATGCGAATACCAACATCAGTCTAGAATTGAGTTTTTTTTTATTTATTTATAATTTATTAATGCCCCAAAATGCCTGAACGTAAAATGAGATACGAATAACCCCCCAAGGCACAGTCAAAAGAAATATTTCATGTAATTGATTGTGGTGGTTGGAAATCTGTCTGTAGCTCATCCACAGATAAGTCTCGCACATGCAGACGAAAAGAAGAATGTGTAATTAAGATATTCAATGAAAAATAATATTGTAATTATTTTAAGGTTGCAATAACATTTGAGAGAAAAAAAATTTTCGAAGGAATCGTGTAGGCAATTTAAGCAGAAAACGTGCGAGTAGAACGGCAGAAAAGGATAAAAAAATCTACATTTTTGTACCCTCTACCATAGGGTAGGGAAAGGGTATATTAAGTTTGTCATTCCGTTTGTAACACCTCGAAATATCCATTTCACCCCCACAAAGTGTATAAATTCTTGATCAGCATAATATTTTTTGTCGATTTAGCGAAGTCGGTCCGTCAGTGGAAATCACTCTAGCTTCCGAACGAAATGAGGTATGATGATAAAATTTTACTCAAATGTATATTATGTCTGCAGGACTTTTGGTATTGAACGGACCATGTAGGTCCATGTTTTGGTATAGCCCCCATATAATGGTACCTCCCTATTTTCAATTTTGGTATTTGAAGTTCGTAATGCATACTACAGCCTATGACAGAAAATTGTCTGTGCAGGTCCACGGCTTCGTATAGCCCCCATATAACGGCACCTCCCGATATTCGGCATTTTGATGATTTTAGCGGCATCACTCACCGGAATTGTTTCAAATTTGGTATTTGCAATTCGTAATGGATACTACAGCCTAAGACAGACAAGTGTCTGTGCAGGTCCACGTCTTCGTAGAGACCCCATATAATTGTACTTCTCGATATTCGGTACCTTGATGATTTTAGCGACATTGTTTAAAATTTGGTATTTGAAGTTCGTAATGGATACTACAGCTTATGACAGACAATTGTCAGTGCAGGTCCACGTCTTCTTATAGCCCGGTACCTCCCGATATTCGGTAAAGCCATTGAAATTCCAAAAAGTGCAAGAACTTACACCGCAACAGAAAGAAAATAGACTCAAAAGAGCTAAAGAGTTGCTTCGCTTGGCCGAAAGTGGTGAACTGCCGAATTTGGTTTTCTCCGATGAGAAAACATTCGTCGCCCAGCAGTTTGTAAACGAATAAAATGATCGTGTTTACTTGTCAAAGAGGTCAGCTGAAAATGTCCACATTCGGTTGGACACCAGAACTCAAGCGCCGACCATGGTGATTGTGTGGGCCGCCATAATAGCCGATGGTCGCTCTTCGCTTGTATTAATCGATCGTGGCATCAGAATAAATGACGAATGCTATCACGAAAATATAATGGGGAGTGTATTAAAGCCTTGGGCACACAAACATTCTGGCCGCAGACCTTGGACATTCCAACAGAACTCAGCACCATCGCACTCAGCACGCGCCAATAAGATGGTTACAAAATGAGGTTTCTCGTTTCATTTCCACCGCATTCTCCGCCACCAAAATCTCCGGATACCAATCCGTTGAAATATTGTGTATGGAGTATTTCGGAAAGCATGGTTGGCACTAAAAAATATGGGCCAAAATACCGCAGAGCAACGTTCAGGCAGAAAGATTTAATGCTATTGCCGACATTTTTTGCTTTCATTCAATAAATTAAAAAAAAAAATGTAAAAATTATGGCGTTTGACTTTGTTGCAGTTTTTTATCTCACCCTGTATATAGATCATACCAAATCAAGGGAATAGAGTGCACCATTCTGTCCAAAATTTTGTATATCGCAATATTTGCAACAAACTGTTGTCGAACTCTAAAATCTGAAATTTAAGAAATAATTTCATAGTTTAATTCTTTTGTGTATTCATGTTTTACGCATTCGCCTAGGTAATCATGAGCAGATGGATCTGTTGATATATACCTTCTAATTTATTTTAGGGCCATCAAAATACATTCTGCGGAATCGTGTCTCTATTTAAAATTTAGGGCGATATTTAGACTGACAATACATTTTGAAGTACTATTTAATAATGCAATTGAAATTGTTAATGTGTTAGGCGATTAAAGGCCCTTGGAAGGAAAAAATGTGTGTTTTTTTTCATAATTTAATTTTTACTGGCTTTTCTATATAGGACCTTAAGTGTAATTTTATATAACGTCAATCATAAGCTGGTGATTTTATTGCCAATAAAATTTCATATTAAATTGAAAATCTCCTCCTCATCATAAACATCATCACTTGACTGAGCAGCATTAATACATTTTTGAAATCACACTTGGGTGTAATAAAAGAGCAAAGTACATGATCCCAGTAATTTAAAACTTTAGAAAATAGGCATTCCCAGTTTATGTTTTCGTATTTTATGTTTTAATTTTCTCTAGCCTACAATAAAACTTTGTATGTACTACACACATTTTTCATTGTTTCCCCTCATTTCTCGTTAATACAGATGAAAACGATGGCAATGATGATGACCAAGCACTTTTGCAACTTACACCTGCAGTGCTGCCCAGTGCGAGAGTCATAAAAACTACCGGAACATTAAAGACATCGCCATTAAATTTGGTAACAAAAAAAGAGATTAATAATGAAGGTCAAGGCCAAATAGATAATATTAATGATGCTGTGGAGAAAAGTTTAACGCCAGCGACGGAAAGCCCAACATCCAGATCACTGAAAGTTTTACAAACGACAGCTTGGGGAGAAACCACGCAACATGATGTCGGTACTAATCGTAAGATAAAGAAAAAAATTAAGAAGAAATTTAAAAAAGTACTTTTGCCACTTTTGTTGGCCTATAAACTTAAGTTTTTAACACTGATACCAATACTTATTGGTGGACTTATACTGCTGGTTGGCTCAACAGGTATGGCTGGTTTCTTTTTTGCCCTGTTCGCAGCCGTCATGACAATGAGAGGTGGTGACAAATATCACAGGTCCATATAGAAGCTGAGAACTTGGGTTAGTTCTATTTTAAGTTTATTGTAACTAAGTTTAAGTTATATTTTTAGAGTATTGCAATCAAAATGGTGAAATTGGGTTTGTAAAATCGAGTTAAGTAATTTTATTTGGGTATCACTATAACATACATTTTATTATTTATTTGCTAAAATAAGTCCTTATTGTTTATAACAATATTCATAAATCCATCCTATTTACTAAATTTGTATAATTTTTATTTTAAGTTTTCAATATATTTATAAATATTTAAGAAACTGCTTTGTTTTTTTTTTTAATAACCCGTCGCAAACGGAAGAATCAGTTTTAGAGGAGAACAGGAATTATTCTTGGCCAAAAACCCGCCATCACTGTTTTTTTGATATATTTATAGGGAAGCTAAGTCCGAATGGCAAACTACGACTACATCACTATTTTTATATCCTACTGGATATTATGTGTTTGTGCATTGGTTAGTAACATAACGGAGGAGAGTAAAGAGTGGACCGATATATCCCATTTTCACACCAGACTTTGGATTAGTAGAAATAATGCGATGTGTGAAATTTGAAGATAACCGGATGTTTATTTCGGATTTTATGATCGTTTTGGTTATTCCAAATGTTACCCTTGGTGGGGAGGTTCTAGAAGGAATGGTCCGATCTCTACTATCTTTATAACAAATCTTGCGTTGATGTAAATATTGAAATTTACCAAGTCTGAATGGAATCGGGTGGTAACTTCGTGTTTTATGAGCTTCATGAATATTCAAAATGTTGACCCTTTGTGGGTGAGGTACTAGAAGGAATGGACCGATATATTCCATCTTCGCACCAGACCTCGGATTAATAGAAATATTGTGATGTGCACAATTTGAAGACAATCGGATTTTTACATTACATTTTATAAAAGTTAATATTATTCAAAATTTTGACCCTTTGTGGGGAAGGTACTTGATGGTGTACACCGATATTGTCAATTTTCTCACCTTACCTAGTACTGATGAAAATATTAGGATTTGCAAAGTTAGGGGAAAATCGGATTATTCTTTCTCTTTCTGTGCAGTAAAATAATTTTATTGAAAATTTTGACATTTTGTGGCGGAGGTACCAGAAAGAGGGGAACGATATTGTCCATCTCCGAACTCGATCTAAGTTTGACAGTAATATTACTATGTACAAGTCTGGATCATATCGAATACTCCCTTCGAGAGTTATTGTGCGCACCAGCCGGCCAGACAGACAGACAGACAGATGAACATCGCTAGACTGACTCCAAATGTCCTGAAACGGATTTGTTCCAATGAGACCTAGGATTTAAAACAGTTATTTCGTTGATGCCGTATCAAATGATATATACCCTCTCTAGCCATATGGCTGAGGGTATAAATATTTAATCTGGACCATGAATTTGCTAACCTTTGGTATTTAAGGTTCTCATGACTCAACAATGCACCAAAAAATCGGTCTATATTTTGATATAGCCCCCATATAAGATATCTGTCCCATTTAACCTCTCATAAAGGTTTTAACACTTGTTTCAAATAAAATAGCCTATAATTTGGGGGTCTCATTCATAAAAAATGTAAAAATTGTCTCTTAAGAATATTCTTTAACCATATAAACGGTTAAAATGAGGAGAGGGCTACAATTTTCAAGATAAACTAGTTAATTTGGAATATATGTCTGATATCAATCATATTTACGATTAGCCTTAATATAAAAGATACTTTTGATTTTGATATTTCAAATGTTTTTGTTTCAATTCCCACCCAAATCAGCTGCAATTTGATATTAATGGCCATCAGGGTAGTTTAATTTATTTCAAAAATTGTCCACTTTTTGTTATAATTCTAGACTTTATGAGCTATATTACCGGTGTCAAGTCGTTATCTATATTGATCCACCCATATAATACTACAACCCACTATATGCTATTTTAAAGACTTTAACTGCATTCTCCAGCCGATTTCAGAGGAATTTGCAGTTTGGCACGAATATTAAATAGTTATACCCAACACCACACTTTGGTCAGGGTATTATGTCCTACAGACCCATGACTCCTTTTTATGATTTGCATAAATTCACATTCTGAGTCTGAATCTTCGACCGATTTGTCTTTTATTGTGCGTCAAATATTTAATATTATCCCAACTCGGATGGAATTTGGCATATGCAAGCAAATTGAAACATACAGGAAGCTAGTTTGTCAAATTTGGTAAAAACCGGTTAACATATAGCTGTAGCTCTTACATACAGGGTGAGATAAAAAAACTGCAACCAACTTCAGACTGCTGTCATTTCTAAGTCACTCGTCGGACAGCTGTTAAAATTATTCCAGTGACAGCTCATTATATTGTTTACATGCGTGACCTTGGTATTCCAACAGGACACACCAAGACCTTGGACATTCCAACAGGACTCAGCAAGAATGGTTACAAAATGAGGTTCTCCGGATACCAATCCGTTGGTCCATTGTGTCTGGAGCATTTTGGTAAGCATTGTTGGCACTAAAAAATACCAAAATGTCGATCACCTCAGGCAAGCGCTTCACCGGGAACGGGCCAAAATACCGTAGAGCAACATTCGGGCAGCGTGTGACGGTTTCATTGACCATTTAAAGGCCATAATTTGAGCCAAAGGTGACCAATTCGAACAAATTTAAACTTATTTTATATTTTAAGCTATTTCCGACATTTTTTTTTTTTTGTTTTCATTCAATAAAATTAAAAAAATGTGACTAGCAAATAATGGTATCCCGAATAAATAAGCCAACACTGTTTTTTTATTTTTAATTAAAAAATATGGCGTTCGACTTTATTGCAGTTTTTTTGTCTCACCCTGTATATCTTTAGCCAATTTCACGTTTGTTGTGCACCAACAGTGCAATATAAGTTCAAATACATTCAAATAGACTCCGATATACATATATGATTTAATCTAAGGAGACTGAAAGTCAAGAGACACAAATGCCTCCTCAAATTAGGTGGAAAACCATTTATAGTGGAATATACCAAATATTAATTCCTTTCAATTTAATTCTCACAAAAAAAAAAACAAATAAATAAATAAATAAAAAAAATTGTTTATTTTTTTTTAATTACGGTTAGCTCTTCTAGCTATGTGGTATAGGGTATCAATCGACGCGTAATTTTGCTTTGATGGAGATTTAAATCAGGCCAGCAGACCTTCACATTATTGTGAAACACTCCAACATTTCCATTGAATCGCTAAAATTTTTAATGAAGAAAGTTACTTTCGTATAATGTCGGATGTCGAAGATATAACAACATATAACAAATACTGGTATCTAAATTAAAAAATACCGATATGAATAAGACCAATACATACGCAAACATGAGATACATTATCTTCTCATTATGGTTAAAATAAAGAATTTTGACTGTGGAATCTTTAGCTTCAATTTTATATTTGATCCAGATCTTATGCCTGGCTGCATTCTGTCAAAAGATTCCACATTTCTTAAAGTCTCTGCATGGCCATAACACATTTTACCTAAATTGTATCACTATTATGACATTATAAGAATGTCATGGTGATCGAAAACAATACGAACGAGTTTGGCCTCTGAAGAAAACTCACTTATATATAGACAAGACGTATATTAACTTATTCTAAGCAACTACTTTTCACGCTTCGTGAACTTTGTAGCCAAGCTGTAGGGTATGTACCTAAAGCTTGCACATCGAAACCACTGTTCTCCCTTCCACCAACCTTAGTGCGATTGCATTACATGGCGGCCCAACATAATTTTGAAAACTCTGACTTAACGCATGTGAATGTAAATGAGCATTACGAATGTTGCCTACTCAGTACCAGTCATGTCTACTTAGTATGGGTGTTTACTTTGCATATAAAATATCCCACTTAATCCAAAAACACAGATAACTATTTGAGGATGCCAAATATGGAGTTTATTGAACTGTTTGTGGTATTTGATATTTACCAACTGTTACAAAATTGGAAAAAAAACCAGTAAAGAAAGTCTTCAAGTCGGGCGGGCCGACTTTATGATACCCTACACCACTTTGCTAATTAAGTAGAGCTCCACATAACAATTAAAAGTTTTTATGGGAGAATTCATGCATTGATATATCATGTATTTGATATATTTCCCTGAATATCGTTGTTAAGGAGTGCATATTACGGTTGTGGGTAACAAATATAACAAATCGGATGAATAATATGTATGGAAGCTATAGCTATATCTGAACCGATCTTCACTAAATTTGACATACTAGCTTCTAGACTCAATTCGGTCGTAAGTGCGAAATTCCATCCCATTTGGACAAATATTAGACGTTTGGTGCACAATAAATGGTAAATCGGACGAAGTTATATATGGGAGCTATATCCAAATCTGAACCGATCTCGATAAAATTTAGCAAAGGTATTTCTGAGCTGCATTTGATATATTTCCCCAAATATTGTTGTTACAGAGTGCATATTACGGCGGCGGTGGACAAAAATAACAAATCGGATGAAAAATATATATGGGAGCTATAGCTATATCTGAACCGATTTCGATCAAATTTGGCACACATATTTTCAGACCTAATTTGGGTGTATATGCAAAATTCCATACAATTCGGGCTGATATTACACGTTTGGTGCACAATAAAATGCAAATCGGACGAAGATATATATGGGAGCTATATCTAAATTTTGACCGATTATCTCCAATTTCAATAGGGTTCGTCCTTGGGCCAAACAAAAGATCTTTGCAAAATTTCATCTGGATCGGGCAATAAATGCGACCTGTACTTTGTTTACAAAAATACATGGACAGACGGACGGACGGACAGACGGACGGACGGACGGACGGACATGCATAAATCGACTCAGAATGTAATTCTGTGCAGATCATCAAAAGGAACTATGGGTCTATCTCGTTTCCTTCTGCCTGTTACAAACAAATGCACAAAGACATAATACCCTGACCACCTTGTGGTGTAGGGTATAAAAATGTTTGGCAATTCTCGTTGTTAATACCCCGGTAGGTACGCCTTTGACGTCAATGAATCGAAACATTTACGTATGCATGTACACAAGCTTTAACAAAATCCATGACAACTATGTATGCACCACCGCCAACAACAAGCAATATTAAAATATGTTAACATGAATTTACGTTTTTAGCGCGCATTATAAGTGTCGCTCATTCCCAATGGTAACCGAGGAACTTTCCGCCACCTCATTAACGGAGCGCAGCTTGAAGATGTTCGCTATGACATTGTGTCCCTATGAGACTATTCGCA